TTGAATTACAAATCTTGTATGCAAGATAAATTTTGTACAAATTTGATAAGGTCCAAATTTAGTAGTCTGTAATTTATATTACAGTTACAATTTTAGCCAAAATTAGAAGAATTGATTATTAAAAAAGTAAGAATTTTTGGGCAAAAGAAAAATTTATAGGTGTTTTTAAGCTGTTTAAGATACTAGAGAGCTCAGTTTTTATGCTAAAAAGATAGTTTAGAGCTTGTTATAACCGGAAGAGGCTGGTTAACAACTTTACTTAAGAGTACAAAAGAGGTTTAGAAACTAGTTTTAAAGATATTTTAGAATTATGCTTCTCTTAGTTTTTTGAAGATAACTCTGCTTAAAAGAAAACAAAAGTTATAAAACTAGGCTGCTTAGATGTAAAAATATGTATAGAGCAAGTTTACTTAAGAGCACTTACTTGGTTTACTTATAAAATTTTGAAGAAATTTGGTTTATTGTAAAAAATTTTTGGGAAAATTTAGTACAAAAGATCTATAGATTAAGTGTGTTTTAACTCTTATTTATTTTTATTTTTATTTTTTAATTTATTATTATTTAATTAGAATTTTTGCTAACAAAATAACCTTTCAAAACTAGTTCTGAAGGGCTATTTTATTAGTATAAATTTAATTTATTTTTGATTTAATTTTTTATTTAATTCAATTATTTATAACAATTAATTTAATTAATTAATTTATTTTAATTTATCTTCTATTCATAACAAAATTTTCTTTTGAAATACATAATCTTTTTAAAACAGAGTATATATGTTTAATAACAATATATATATCAACAATACTATAGAATTAATTATATAATCAATCCTAGACACAAACTTTGAAGAAGACAATAAAAGCTTTAATAAAGTTGAATACTATATTTCAGAGAAACCTGCAAATAAAGAAATAGATATGATAGTATTGTAGAAGATAATAATAGTAATATATAGATTTTTGCTAACAAGATAGCCTTTCAAAACTATATAAACATAGTTCTGAAAGGCTATTTAGTAACAAAATTCTATATAATCTACTAATAGTATATTAAATATTTGGTATAATAAAAGGTAATAATTGAATATATAGAATTTTTGCTAACAAAATAACTTTTCAGAACTATATTTCACATAGTCTCAAAGAATCATTTTGTAAGCAAAAATTATATATTTTCTGTTTATTAAATATTACTATTTATTTAAATATACCAAACATAATTTTTTTACTTTATATATATAGCTAGAGACTATTTGGCTATCCAAACATCTTCTGTTACTTCTGAATGTATTTTTTTCCTTAAGCAGAAATATGATTACAAACAAAAGATCTAGTTTGTTACCTAAAACTGTAAAAGCAGTACAATGCCTCAAGTTATAGATACAAGAGCTATTAAAAGAAAAGTTAGGAATTTGTAACAACAAGGTTCAATTTTAAAAACTATAATATTTACTTACTTAATAAATAATATATAAAATCTATCTACTATTTGAGTATTGTCTTGAAAAAAGACTTTAAGAATATAGTAATTATTATAATAATCATTATGTTCTGTAAAGATCTTTTTCAAGATAAAAATTTATATGTTTGCTTGTATATTATATTATTTATATTTCTACTATTTACTTTTATTTGCTATTTTATGAATTAAAGTTTACTATATTATCAGTATATTATTAACAATGCTAAGATAAAATAAAATAAATAATTAAATAATTTAAAATTATAAATACTGTAATAAATAATTAAATTATTAAATAAAAATATAAAACAAAAATATATATATATATATAAAATATAAAAAATATAAAAAAAAAATATAAAAAAATATAAAAAAATATATATATAAATCAAAACCTATTTAAGATTAACTTTAATTAGCTACTTGGCTAAGTTTAGTTAACTAATTAGTCAACTAAACTTAGTAAAATAGTTATCTAACTATTATTACTAAGTTTATTAACTAATTAGTTAACTAAACTTAATAAAATATTTAGTTAACTAGAAATTCTATTGAACTCAAACATATTCATTAACTTTTGAACCAAACTTGAACTGAACTAAATACAATAAAAAAAAATCAAACCCAAATTTGAACCCAAACATATTTTCAATCTTGTTTAGGTTCAGGTTCAGTTCGATTTTCAAACTAAACTTGAACTTAATAAAAATTCAGTTCAGTTCAGTTCAATAAAAACACTAATAAATATTATATCAAAAAAATATTTTGCATACAAAAAATAATAAATATCCTTTTTTAAACTGTAATAAGATTATCAAACCCATGGTCTCTGAACAAAAATTTTCTAAATTATCTCAGTCAACTATTTCATCAATAGAAACACTAATTAATTCTTTTAATCTTAGTAGTAAAATACAAACTAGTAATTCTACAAAAAAATCCTCTAGTAAAAAAATTAAACCAGTTAATAGAGATAGTTTACTAACTTTAAAAAAGTTAATTAAAGAATCAACTACTCCAATTTCCACACAAATTTTATCAAAAAACACTATTATTCTACAGTCAGATATTTCTAAATGAACATAAATTCAGTTAATTTTCATGAATTAAATAAAAAGATTATCAAAGCTGAAGATAATAATCAAAAAACAAATCAAGACATAATACGTTCATACTATTATTTCGGAAAAGGATATAATTTATGGTATGATTTCTACAGGCAATCTAATAATGAGGACGCTTTAGTTAATGATAAAATCAGAGAGCATATTCCTAATCAAGATAAAATTACTGAGACTAACCTTCGAAAAAGAAAGGAAAGGGCTAAAAAAGTTTTCAGACTTTTCAATAGTATTGGTGGTGAAAATATGATTAAATCTTTTTTTGCATCAAATATTTCAAATCTAAGTCTAGACGATATTGATTATGTAATACGTAGCAAAAATTTTAAAAGGATTACTGCGCCACTGTGACAACGGATGTCACACCTCTTCAGGCGTAAATAATAAAGTTCTTATTTTTTGTTTTTTTCGATAATTTGAGCATGTACAAAAATATTCATTAACGTGTTAGAATAAATTCCGCATATGAAATTTATCTGTATCATTTCGCAGGGCTTATCGTTATGCATAACTTATTTGTAAGCATTTATATGCCTTATATATTTATTTGTATCAATAAATATGTATTTATTCCGATATATTATACAGATAAATATATAAAAATGCTCAAAGGAATGTGATATCAATGCTACAGTATTATGTTTAAGTTCTGATTTTCTTTGGCGACGGGCCGTCGCTGAAATTTTGGTCGGGATGATTCACAAATTCGAACTTTCTTAAGTTACGGATCCAAGACTATGTGAGAAAAAGGGATAGGCGCTCTCCTATAAAAATTCATAACGTATTATCTAAAGAATTTAGTTTTGTTTGCTGGCTCTGTTAGGTGCAATTGAAGGAATAATTTCAATAAAAATAGAAATAATAATATCATACCCTGATTAATTGTAGAGCCATAGAATTTGCCTTTCGAAGCAGATTTTATCCGGCTGTCTTAGTATCTACATTCACTCATATCAGGCTTGAATAAAGTATATGCATTTTGCCGTTTGCATGTGATAAAAAGTAGAAAAATAAAGTAAATTTCCTTGTTGGTCTTTTAATCAATTGTATAAAAAATGATATTATCTTTAACAAAATAAATCTAAAAGCGACGATAATAGCTTGATTTGATAAAAAAGACCAAGCGGTAAGTGATCGAGCACACGATACACACTCTTGACAACCGATCATGAACCACAACTCTTGAACGAGCTTATGGGATAACCGTAGTTCTTCAGAATGATCGGTTAGCGCATCGTCTTCCATTACGCAAGTCACGACAGGTGCCCCTGTAGGAATAACCGTAGTTTTTGACCAACCCTGCCTGTGGCCTAACATATGGGGTCAAGTAATCCTTTCGCTGGAATATTCAATAACAAAATGAGTATTAGCACAAGTTAAGGATTAGTATAATTAGAGCTCTGCTTTAAGATACTTACAAGGCATCAAAAGGAAAACTTGCATTCTGGGTACGTGCTCACAGTATAACTCTTGACAACCAAGTGTGAGCCACAACTCGAGAGCTTATGGGATAACCGTAGTTCCTCAGAACACTCAGTAGTCATACTGTCTTCTGTGAGAGAATCTGGTCACAAACGTACCTTCTGATGAAGAATAACCGTAGTTTTTGCCCGTCTTATGCCAGACTACATCTTACAGGACACGTTCTATTTTACAGGGATAAAAGAAAAACAATTTAGCACAGTTAGCGAAAGAAACAAAGTTATACTAGGTGCAAGCAACGGTTGACAGGCAAAATAAGTATCAAATGTGTGGCAGAAAAAACACGTATAAATCAGATCAATTTTCTGGGGTCGTCTAAAGCGGAGTAGAATCACGTGAATTAACCAATCAAATCACGAATTTTTGTTGACCCGGATCAGCCCG